CACCCCGTGATCAGCACCTTACGTGGATTGAACCATCGACGTGTCAATGGATCATGGATGCTCTGAGGACTGTACAACACAAAGGACGTTATTACAAGAATATATTAGTGAAGGTGGACACAAACGAAAGTACAACCTCTGCCGCATGGGCCAGTCCATGGCGTACGATTGACTGATGCGCGTTGACTGTCCTTGACCTTCACAGGGATCGATGATCTGTTCCATATTCAGTGACCCAACTGCCGGATGATTTGGCTAGGGTTTAGTTACATTTCATTGGTCCTACAGAGCAAACATCAACAGCATCTGATTTTCCATGAGATCTGTCAACTAATAAATCAGTTACCCTGAGATCTCTTATATCATCGGTTTATAGATGACCACAAACTCAAAATCCCTCATTATTGTCAAAATAATTTATAAATCCCTTTCTGATGGTGGTTTCATATTACCACTAGTATATGTCATTTTTTCCTTGAATACTATCATTTTTATTTGAAACTTTTATTGAGTTTAATTAAAATTGAGTGTTCATATATACATTTGGAGTATTTTATCTCAAAATGTAACTAGTCGACCATCATTAGTTTCAGTTTCAGTTTGGAAAGGACAGGAGGCTTGATGGCCTGTGTTAGTTCTGGCAATGATGGTCTCTCAGCTGATCCAACTTTCTTTTGAAGGAGTCGACGGATGGAGCCTCAACCACGTGCTGAGGTAATGAATTCCACTCGTTGATTATTCGATGGGAAAGTCGGTAGTCAGCTGACAAGTAATTCGTTCTGGGCTTGTGAACTTTTTTGGAGTGTCCTCGTAGATTTTCTGTTTTGGAAGACAAGAAAAATGAGGGCATATCAGGTGCAAATTTGTCATTTAGCAATTTGAAAACTATAATCAAGTCACCTCTGATTCTTCTATATGACAGCGGGAATAGGTTTAGCTTGGTCAGTCTAGTACCATACGGGAGCTTCGCTATTCCGGGAATCAGCCTAGTTGCTGTTCTCTGAACCCTTTCCAAGAGTTCACTGTCTTTTTTAGGCAGGGGTTAGCTGCTTGTATACAGTACTCAAGTTTAGGGCGTACGAACACTGTATACAAAGTCAAAAACGTTTTAGCGTCAAGATGCCTAAAAGCCCTGCGTATGGACCATAAAGTCCTAAAACCTTTGGCGGCTATTGCACGGCAGTGTGCAGTAGTCTTTAAGTCTTGACTGACGATGACGCCTAAGTCATTGTGTGCCTGAACAATAGGTAACTCAGTGTTATTCATCGTGTATGTATCTGTACCCTGATGGCCAATATGCATCACAATACACTTGGAAGTGTTTATCGGCAATTGCCAGGTTTGGGACCATTCAGATAATCTCTTCAGGTCATTTTGAAGTTCTAAGCTATCGCCCTTGCTTTGTATCACTCTCCATATCTTGACATTGTCAGCATAGAGTAAGACCGATGACGATAGTAGACGAGGGCGATCATTTACGTACAGGAGGAATAACACTGGCCCCAAAACTGTACCCTGGGGGACTCCACTAAGCACAGTTTCCCAGCTAGACAACTTGGAGTTCACCCTTACTCTTTGTTGACGCCCAACTAGGAAGTCTTTTATCCACATCAATAGATTGCCTCCAATCCCGACATTCCTTAGCTTATATAACAGCCGGTTATGCGGAACTTTGTCGAAAGCTTTGCTGAAATCGATGTAAGCTACGTCTATAGGTAATTTTTGGTCCTTAAGAGCGCACCAGCTTTCACGAGCGACTAATAAGTTTGTGAGACAAGAGTAACCTGTTCTAAAACCATGCTGCTTTTCGGAGAGGATCCGGTTTTCATCGAGATACTTTAACAGTTCCTTCCGAATAATCTTTTCTAAGATTTTAACAACCACACTAGTTAGGCTAATTGGTCGGTAATTCTCAGGCTTATGTTTTGTACCTGTTTTGAAGACTGGACTTACTATGGCGTTCTTCCAGTCTTTTGGTAGACGACCCTGGGTTACGGATAGATTAAAACATACACTTAAAGGGTTCGCAACAAAGTTAGCTAATTCCTTTAGTAACCTAGGATGCAGTTCATCGGGTCCAGTGGATTTACCTATGTCAAGCTTAACTAGCAGACCAAAGACATCGAGATCTTTAATGGTTACGCTGTCCAGTGCCTGTGTGGGTGGATTTTCATGGACTGGTGAGAAGGGTGTTTCTATGGTGTATACATCGCTAAAGTATTTAGAGAATACTTGAGCTTTGCCAAAGTCATCCTCCACTAGTGATGTGGCAGTACTGTCTCCCCATAGTGAAGGAACATTTCTTCTTCTTTTTGTCCTTTGGTTTATATACGAATACAAGCGTTTAGGGCATTCTATGGATTCCCTAACGATTTTCTCTTCGTACAGCTTTCTGGCCTTACGGAGGGTCGAGGCACAGGTATTTCGAGCCTTTCGATACTGATATTTAGCCTCGTCAGTCCCCAGTAACCTAAATCTGTCCCACATTTTCCTTCTTTTACGGAGAAGGATGCGAACCTCCCTACTGAACCACGGTGGGGAGTTTCTCGGTCTCTTAGGTGTAGTCCAAGGGATGTGGGGGGTAGTAACTTTTAAGTATAAATTCCGGAATACGTCCCAAGCCGTTTCGATTGATGACTCTGGATCTAATTTCCAATCTACTAATGATGCTGATTTCATGATGTCTGCTATGTTTGCTTTCCAGACGTTAGGTCTGGATTGAGCTGAAGCGTACTCGTGATCGACAGTTATATGGAAGTCAAAGCTTAAAACTGCATGATCACTTTTGCCTAGGGGTGGCATGTAATCCAGGTTTGCAACATCATCCTCATAATGAGTCAATATAAGATCTAGTAAGGATGATGCAGAACCCGGGTCGTACCTGGTTGCTTCCTTCACGTGTTGCACTAGAGCACATGTGATTATCGCATCAACTAGTTCCTGTTCGAAGGAGTTTGCTAACGATTCAGTCCGCAGATTTCCCCAGTCCACCATGGGTGCATTAAAGTCCCCTAGGATTAGACATCGATCACTTCGTGATAAAGTGTTCAGACGGCTTAGCAGGACCTCGTTTGCCTCACAGCTTGGACTGCGATAGATCAAACTAAGTAGCTACTCTTGTCCCCTGCATTTCAGGCGGCAGCAAACTAATTCGTACGTCCCACTCTCATGGGATACACTGTCGATAATGGTGAATGGAATAGCATTCCTAATGAATAGAGCTACTCCCCCTCCTTTACGCGTTTGTATTCTATCGGCCCTTACCAATGTAAAACCCTCGAAATCAAGTTCCCTACTATCTATAGACGGCGTCAGCCATGTTTCTGTGACTGCGATTATGTCTGGCCTAGTTGAGTCAATCTGTACACCTAGTTCCGGTAGCTTATTTAGTAAGCTCCGGGCGTTGGTATAACAGATCCGAAGCCTATTTAGGTGGCCTCGTGCTTCACCCAGAGTGGCTTCGGCATCATCCTCTGTCGAAGTCTCACAACCCGAAAATTTACAATTTTCAGGTCTTTTTCGTCAGCGTCTAATCTGAGCTGTAGTTCCTTTTCGGCCTCCCGTCTTTTAACACGGTCCGCCAACGGTAAGTCCTTACGGAGAAAAACTCCCGAACCCTTTAATTTGTGTCCATTTTCTAAGATTAAGTCGCGTTCGTTTGAGGATTTGAAAACGACTTTGAGTAGTCTAGACTGATTTGGTTTCAGATGCGCTAGATTTCCTAGTCTATACACCTTTAGCAAGGTGACTCCGGGGATGTTTTTGGGCATAACTTGGTTGAGTAGTTGTTTTATCAACACAATGTCATGCTCAAAACGAGGTTTCGGTTCTAAGTTGTCACTCTCCTTGACTCTCTGGAGAATGACTGATCTGTCGCTGTGATCAGACCTCGGCTTGTCGACCCTTTTGGTGGGGGTATGATTTCCTTTTACGTCATTTTGGCGTTTTTTTCTTACGACCCGTACCCAATCGCCAACGTTCTTTGGAGTGGTAACCACATTCGCGTCAGGCGTACTGTGGGATTGCGGAAGATTCAGGACGACTTAGGAGATTGGGTCATCTTTCGCGCTGGAAACCGATCGAGCCTTGCGGTTTCGGCTTCCGGAAGTTCCCTTCTGGGTACCGTTTTTGATACGAGGGACAGAAGAGACTTTTTTGCGCGAGTTTCTGGTTGTAACAGTCCTCTTTGGAGGATGTTCTTCCTCCTTAGTAGGGTGTGGGTCGGCAGTTTTTGGACTCACTTGGGCCTGCCTTGTGTCAATCTGCGTGTCGACAGATTGAGTTCTGACTGATGTATCCCGACCGCGCTTCCCGAGACACTTTTTTTGCGGCATTTACTATTAAAATGGCCTCGGTTAGCAGGCTATTTGCATCCAAACAGCACTGTTGACATAGCCATACGCACCCATTTTTACTGAACCGCTTGAAAGCTGCAGGTGTTAGATTCGTGCAAACATCGTGGTACCAACCTTCGCACTCATCGCACTGCATGCCGCTATCAACAGGATATCGACATCCTGGGCGGTGGCAAATGCTTTTGTTGCATCTTCCAGTCATTTTAGGATGCGAAAGTGAGTGTTGACTATAAGTAGAAAAAAAACTATAAACAGTTAGGACCAAAGTACTAACAGACACAATGGAAAAAAAGGTACTCTGGAGTACCGACGATAAAACTATTTAGGATACCAAAGATGATACTCTAATAGAATACTTTAACTGAAAGAAATTCAATCAAAGTATAAAAACAGTAGTCTTGATACGTTAATAACGATCAAAACAATAGAATTTACTCAACGAGGAAAAATACCACTGTCCTTTTTAAATAGCGCGCCGAGTATTAGAGCGCACTTTTATTCATCATTATATTGCATAATTTATTATGATTTTTGAAGACCGGTGAGATCTTGTTATGATAGGTTGAATAATTTGAGAAAAATATCTTTCGTGATAGCAATTAATATCAGACTCTAAACGTGACACTAGCCGACTCCCAGCCATTTGTTTTAATCCTCGTGAATGTTAAAGAGCGCGTGAAAAAAGGGTAAGGACTCCAGCTGCCGAAATTAGTCCTATTTTACTGACCAAATATAAGCCTAGAACCCTCGTTTTTTTTATCTTCAAGGGATTGCTGTAAACCTTTTATATGTACTGCGTTATGAGTAGCCTGAATGCCTGCCTCGTCCGCAGGAAGTACAATTCTGATATCAGATTTCTTCTCCGTATATCCGCTTCATTATATTCTAAACGAGTTGCGATGAGCCTTAGACTATAAAAGTTATAAAATTCACATATTAATGCCCTCTGGGTAATGTAGCTTTGCCTGTATACAGGATTTTTTGGTCGCTCCAGGTATTTTATGCTCATATGCCCAATCTCCCGATTTTAAGGAAAATTTTGTTAGTTTTGGGGAAATAGCACAAAAACCCATAGATTTCCTCAGGTCTGGGAAAATTTCTGCAGAATAACTTATGTATTCGGGGATAAACCCGTATTCTTCAAGTTCAGCACGCAGGTTATCTGTGATGTTATCTGAGTAGCACAGTATTACTTGGTACAGCTGCTCACCATTCCAAGGTTTCACATTTCAGTTTAAATCATCATGATGTCAGTGTTGGTATGGACCTAAATTGAGAATTTAGTCTACCGATATTTGGCGAGCTTTTATCGATTTTTGGGAAGTTAGACAAAATTTCCCCAAAACGTTTGGGGAAATTCTAGGTTTTCTCCCATATTTTCTTAAAACTTCCTCAGACTTTGTTAGGTCTATTACCATCCCTTTTTAACGCTGCAGCTGTTATCACTAGTTCTCTTCCGTTGGTTAGTTTGTACTGATTTTCGAGGATGTGAATCAGCAAAATGGTATTCATACATATCAGGCTCAATGTTGTAAGCTAGTAAAAGTCACCTGTTGAGTAGGTTTTGTAGTGTTTTGCATTACATCTGCTCATTTATCTCCTTCAAAGGCAAAGGACAGCCATCGAATAGATAGCTAACACTGGAAATCATCAAAAGGGTACGGACGTCCCGGTTTGGGATTGAAAAATGACCATGAATGGTGTTAGTAGATTATCGTTGATACTGCTTGAAGTCAGTCATATTGATGAGAATTTACTCACTTTTGTATATAAGTTTCGAGATTAGTAATACTCCGTAACTTTGTTATCGACATCCTCAGCCGCCGATGTCGGGTTAATCTACTGGGAAACTCGAGTAGTAACTTTGGATACGCAAGTGACATAGTTCTGTTATGTAGTGTAGCAACCTAAATTTATGTGGGCAAGTATCATGTGAAAAATATTACTCTTACTCTGATTCACTCCCCTGTTACTTTCATGAGGGCAACTCAGAAGTTTTATCAGTTGTAAGTCTGTCTCAACGCTTTTTAGCATAATGTAAAGGCGACTAGGTTGTGCAAGGCACTTACTTGAACGTTAACTCTCACCTTTTAAGTCTGACAGAAACCGAAAAAATGACGGTTGTTGCGAAATCAAACAACTTGTGACGCATCTTAGTTCTCGATATTTTAGAACTTAAATTTCAGCCGTTTGGTAATAAATCCGAAACACCTGCCATATAATCTTATCCAAATAAGTATATATTAACTGCCACGGCTAAAATATTTCGAAATACCTATGAGAAAGCTGCATCTAGACGCTGATTTCTGTTAAAGGCTTTATTTTAGGGAGTTACCATTGGTACTGATTATAATGCCCAAATTGATTTCTGCTTCCATGGAACTCTAATTAGAAGGGCTACACTTACATATGAGGTAAGCAAATAGTGATAACTCCACAACATGTGACTGCGGAGTTCAGATCATAACGCGACTAAAGCTGCCATTCCTGATTACTTTTGGAGGCAGTTATATCTGAATACCTTATTATTCACAAGGAGTCTAACCAGCACTTATGACCGTAAATGGGTTATACCCGCTAAATACTTTGCACAGGATATGCAATAGGGCTTAAGACGAATCGCAAAATCCATCTATACTTGCTAATACATTACTTCAGTTACAATTAAAATGTTAAGTTTTAAAAATGAAACATACTCTTTGATATTTTTTAGGAACGTCATGGTGTGTTACTATGACTCTCAGCTCGATCCATCACATTTCCGTTTGATTCAAGCATCTGTTCCTGAAGTTTTAAAGTGGTTCAGCGATTTGTCCGCTTCTAAGCGTGTAGAATTTGTTTGTGGCTTACTTCAGTTATCTACACCACCAGAGCTAAGGTTCTACGGCAGCTGCTTGGAAGAGATTGCCCGTCAAGATTATGAAAGTCTCCATGATTCTGAAATACAAGCAAATGCACCTATGGAAAATTATGGTGTTTTAACTTTGTATAATACTGTGCCATTGAATTCTGGTATTTCCACTTTGGTAACTCCGATTTCTATCCCGATTCCTCCCTCATTTATAATATTAAATAACAACCCAACATTGCGATCTAAACTTATTATCAGTCTTTCACTACTTAATTCTACAAATATCCCAGCAGCTACAAGTTATTTTGAAATGTTGATGACTGATGAGAGCGACACACATTCACCGAATGATCCGCAATTACCGACTGCCATATTTAAAACATCTTCGCTTGTAAAATGTAAATCGTCTAAGAGTGGGTCTGTTTCATCAGACGATAGTGATGATGAATTGTCTTCAGCAGACATTTTAAGGACTATTAACCCGCAAGTCTTAGATGAAATCATGCTCATTTATACACTTGCTGCATTTCATCCTGCTTTCTCTTTTGATCAGCGACAACGTTTGTATAAGCGTTTATCGATTGTAAAAGCTTTATCTGACCACTCCGTAAAAATTACTCAACTCGCCAATCAGTATAAAGATCCAAATAAACATGCCCTTGGCGGGTGGACAAATCCCCCTCGGAAATCACAGTCTCCATCTAACTATAAACACCATTCCTGTCTAAATTTTCCTGCCAGATCTAATGTTCCACTGTGTCCTGCATCAAGACAATGTCGTTTTCACGGTAACCGAAGCTCCATCAATCAAGTAGGTCACATAATATCACTGAATTTTGTATATATCTGCATAAATAAGGTCATATTCTACTACCAACTGATTACGTCCCCATTTTCAATCCATAAGTTTGGTTGTTCATCAGTGAATTATTTTCTCTCTATTTTATAAAATTCATGAAGCAAGAGAACATTTAACGTTAGTATGGATTCCAGTCAACCAGTGTAGTCACAATATAGCGTTATTGTGGTAGGTAAAACGTTTGACTTTCATTCAATGGTTGGCTGATTTAAACCCTCTCCCACTTCAGTTTAACCAGTTAGGTAGTATTCTTATCTATCATACAATCTATGACCTCAAACCGAGTGCATACATTTATTGTTTAAAGAATTCAGTAATTATGACCACTATAGTCCCCTGTCTTAGCAATGGATTTCTTTTTAAGTTTTGATTTTGTCGTCCTAATCAGTGTTTGGTAACGTTAGTTTTCAAAGAATTTTCAGCATTCTCAGTTCACGATGAAATGTATTGTCGAAACTACACAGTCTTAAGAATTTTAGCTAGTTTTTAAGAGTGTATTTATTATTCGTACAAACTTGTCTATGGTTATGTAAGTACACATAAACTAAATGAAAACCATATCACAAAAATAACTTGAGTTTATTCAGAATCTTTGAAGTTAAAGCAAGAAAGAAAAAACACCAACATTACGAAGCAATGAAAAAACAGTTTAGCCAAAGGATATACCATTATTAAGTGAAGTATAATTTCAATCTATAATCGTCATGTCTGTAAATCAACATGTCCTCAATCTGGTTTCAAAAAATATTCTCAGTTATCTAAATGCTAAGAAAAGGACCATGTTAGTCGCTTCTTAATATTCAACTCGGTCGAACTATATACTCACGCTTTTCTGTAATCCAAACAAATTCATGATATATAACATAAAAAATCCATTCATAACCACATGAATAAAAGTTGTAATATTTACCAGTAAAGTACAATTTCATGGTTATTGTGGATTAAACGGCTGTTGTACAATGATGTGTAACTATGTTTTACACTTTAAAAGAATAGATTGGTCATTTTCCAAGATAGTCTTCATATCTTGGTATAATCAAATAAACAAATAAAACCGGTTAAGTTCACTTTACATGATCTTGGAGAAATGAAAATAAAAAGTTCGATTGAAGTGGAGAGTTGGGCTTAAGCAAGTTATTATGTCTTCGTCGACCTAGTATTCTTGGACGCCTCGATTCACTTAACTGGTTCCCAAAATACAATACAACTTGACCAGATTTTATCTGTTTAATTTTATTTAAACACATAAATATTGGTACAAAGTGGCACCAGATATATATGCGCCGCACAAATCTCATTTGATTTGTGTGATGGCCGTGATACTGCCCAGGTGCACAAACTTAAGCAGGTGGTTTTCACACAGGGCCACACCCGGAGCCTTCGACCTAAAGATCTGATCCACAAGGCAGTGGAGCATCGTGAGGAGATGCAGTCCCATGGTAGTCGGTGATCAACGATTGATTCGTACGCCATTTGTTCCCTCAGGATATTGGAGCCCATGTGCACCATTGGTTTGGAATCAGGGTTTTCCAACTCCCCTAGTTGGACTCGCCTTGTCCACCAACCCGGTTAAAGCGCCGGACATTCGCTTTTCGTCCTCTCACTTTTGTAAGCAACACCCCCGCCACTGTGAGAAGGCAGTGAGTAGGACTTCCCTGGTAGAGGCTATATACGCGTAGCCATATAAGGGCATTTCGAGAGGGAGAGCGGACTCTTCCCACTCTCAGCCGTACTAGGGCATTGGGAGGCCAAAACGTAAGTATATTCCATAATAAATAGTAAGTAAAGTTAGGATAGTAACCAAATGTCACTGTGCACATAACATTTACACAGGAGACGTCTGGTGTTCTTTGCCTATCCCTTAGCGCTGATTGATCGAAAGTGGGTCATTCAAAACACTAACGTGGTCTTACGTGAAACATCCTTTTATCATAACACAAGTAAGAAGGAAATAGATAAAGTGTTAGCTATTTTACGGTCACCCTTGAGTTTGATACGAAGCAGTAATACGTTTAGGACTTCCGTGACAATGGTAGAACAATTACTACATCATTTTAGGCGCAAACGTACTGGAGTGCATGAAGCACGGCTGTTATCCTCATTACTCACAGTGAACATTCGATATACGGTTGTAACAGCTTCTTAAATTGTTACCGGGACAAATGCCCTGGTACGGCCGAGAGTGGGGAGAGTCCGCTCCCTCTCGAAATGCTCTCACATGGCCTGTGAATATATAGCCTCTGCCAGGGAAGTCCTACTCACTGCCTTCTCACAGTGGCGGGGGTGTTGCTTACGAAAGTGAGAGGACGAAAAGCGAATGTCCGGCGCTTTAACCGGGTTGGTGGACAAGGCGAGTCCAACTAGGGGAGTTGGAAAACCCTGATTCCAAACCAATGGTGCACATGGGCTCCAATATCCTGAGGGAACAAATGGCGTACGAATCAATCGTTGATCACCGACTACCATGGGACTGCATCTCCTCACGATGCTCCACTGCCTTGTGGATCAGATCTTTAGGTCAAATGCTCCGGGTGTGGCCCTGTGTGAAAACCACCTGCTTCAGTTTGTGCACCTGGGCAGTATCACAGCCCTCAAGCAAATCGAATGAGATTTGTGCGGCGCATATTTATCTGGTGCTTCCTTGTACCAATATTTGTGTTTAAATAATAAATAATACCGGGACATCCAAAGTTAACTATTTTTGATGTTATGTGATCAGGGACAATAGTGAAAAACCCTCAAATCCATGTTTCATGCTAATTGATCCCCATTAGTGTACTATGTCTGCAGCCTTGAAAAGAAAACAGATGCTTTTCGTAGGGTCTAAATCCCCATCCTCTCAATCGGTCAATTACGTAACCAATGGGCTATGTAGACCATGACTACTAGCCTTCTGTAGGACTGAGACATATCCATTGATCGATCACTGAGTGGCAATTATTTTTACCTTACTCTTGACACTGGTTGAATTCCGTCTGTCAAGTTGCCACACCTTTCTGAGATATGATATTGTGTGAATACAAAGATCGAAATTCCATTTGTTGATTGTAATAAAACTAAGTTCATTAATTTTGAAGATTATTTGACTAAAAAACTTCTTGTCTATTTTAGGACTCCAATAATAATCTTTCTACAAAGTATTCACATTGCGGTTATTTTCTGTGTCATTGCTCACAATGTCGTAAGTAAACATGTTTTTTCTGACTAAGAAAGTGAACATTTTCGTTTTGATTCCGTTTACTTTTTTTCAGTGGTCCAAGTAGATTTGTTTTGAATCCCTATCACATCGATTATATTTGATAAGATAGACAATAATGATTTATTTAAAGATAAGTCTGATACACAGGGAGGCAAGCGATACAGAGTAATGTTGACTTGTGACATTCAACACACATGTTGCCAACTACAGATAGATAAAGGCATAAATGGCAGATATGTTTTCAGCTACTCTTTTCCCAAAGGTTTATTGTTGGACTGTGATTGAAGGGTTTATAGTCGTTGAATTCCCAGCAATAAGTTTATGAGTTTTCGGGACATATCTGACGCCTACTATAATCACTTGATCTTTCGTAATCTCATATATACTATCTTAGACCACTCCAACTGTATAGTAAATCTGAACAACGATGCGATTTATTGCTAATCATCAGATAAACTCGACAATAAATAAGGTTGAAGAATTGAGAGATCAAATCGTTTTGGGATTCTTGAATGAGTACATGTGGAGTATTTAAATGGATAACCAGTTAAATACACATCTATACGTATACAAGAATAGTACGAGTAAAAGTTAATAATTAAACATCAAAACATCTTATAGGATTATGAATGACATTCTTAATATTAAAATAGGAATTGACCCCTGATCAGTTACGTTTGTATATTAACCCAAAAATTATGACTTGGTACCTTCATTTGTGCACGTGACAACTTTTCGTCTGTATTTCTCTGACCATTAAATTACGTTTGAACTCCTCATAATTTCTGTGACTAACAGTGTGGTAGTAAATAGTCGAGTTGCATCGTTTTTCATTTATTAATAATTGTAATTAGTTATTCGAAAATATCGTTTGTGTGGATGACTAGGAGGAGCAGGAACATCTTATTCATTAGGCATTTGTCTGTGGACTGAGATACTCCCCGGGTCCCCAGATCGAACTAGGTGGTCACTCCCTGAACCTTTGTTCTAGAGGTCTAATTCACAAAGCAGTGAAGCGATGTCAGGAGACGCTATGGCATGGAAACCGGTGACCAAAAAAGGTTCGTAAATCATTCATCCCTCAGGATTCTGAAGCTCATCTACATCAGTGCTTTGTAATCAGGGTTTCATAACTCCTCTCGGTGGACTGTCCGTATCTACCCGAGATGTTCACTTTTCGTCCTTTCACATTCGTTAGCAACCCCCACTTGTATAAAGGCAGTACGAGTTGTTTGGCAGAGTTTATAAACTCATGGCCGTATGAAAGGACTCCTAGAGAAATTGGGAATCCTCGCCCTCGGCCGCACCAAGGCATTACGGTTTTGCTTTTCTCTCAATCGCAACTACGACTTGTAGGTTAGCAATGATACTCAAGTTTTATCATCCATCTTCACATGATAATAGTATTAGGTGTAGAATTCGAACAAACTTGGAGATGTTTACTGGATGTTACTTTCACACAAAGTCAATTTTTGCACATAAATAATTTAATGTTGATTGCAAGCACATTATGTGATGATAATAATAGCATGTAATGTTTTCCATTTACCGATGATTTGATATTTTTTTGCTGATCTCTGCTATTGTTATGCAGGTCATTATTCATACATTCTTTTTTATTGATTCACCAGTTTATTATATTGTAATCAATTATGTTTAGACTGATTTGTTGTTTATATGGAAGCAAAATAATCTAGCCATATATGTACCCACTCTTTGCTTAAATCAACTTTTTTAATTATTGTATACAAGGCCTTGATATCAGTTTAGTTGACGTGATTGATTACTTTCTGCCAGTACAACGGGGTCTTTAATACGGATGCCTGTATTTTCTCATTGATTACAGAAATGATAATAATATCTTGTCAAAACCAGTGTTGAAATATAGAACGCGTTTTATCGCAGTTAAAACTAGAGACAATAAGAATAGATTGATTCGTTGAGTAAGTTAAGGGCGAAAATAATATGCACTACTGTTAATGATTTATAAAAAGAGGGAGCATATGCTTAAGTTGTAGGAGAAGAGCTAAACTTATTGTCGGAACAATGATTGCGATTCGCACTACACTAAAAACGACACAGTATTAATCCACTACTACCCAGTCTTCATCAACCGTCTAAACAGTTTTTCTCTACACAGTCGATGATCTTGGATGGTCAAGTTTGCAAAATGAGAACCGCGATGCTGTTAGTCAAGAGCATTTTATTGAGATAATTTTGATGGTGGTAAAATATACTTCTAACGCCATAAGTCGAAATCCAGTCGATAACTACTGCTTCCGTTCCAGTGTTTTATAAAATGTCAAGGTTTTTTAGGCTATGAAACTTTACAGTTAACTAGATCTGCCTATTTTCAAATTAAATCTTATGATGAGAAAAGTAACAGTTTTCTAACTGATTACTCATTGTTTAAAATGCTTTTGAATCTTGTTTATGCTTCGAACAAATACTTGAAAAACGTATGTTTTCAAATGCTTTTCCACTATGAATGTCTTTGCTGATGTTTCTTTTCTAGTACATAATGCTTTTCAAATTGCCAGAACCAGGTAGTTTATGAGTAAGTTTCCATTTCTCCCTATCTGACAATAACAAAACAGCTTTGCAAACAAGCTAATACATTCTCTTTTTTAGATTAAGCTGATAATATCACTTCATTTGTTACCATAGATCAGATTAAGCCTACAGCGTAGCAATCTTATTACTTTGATCAACATTTATCTGTAATTGATATATCATCTATTGCTTCAAAAATTCTTATCCTTAAATTTTACAAATATTTCCAGATTATCGGGGTTCTGTAACACGTTCATTACGCCGGCATAGTTTACCGTCAGATTGTTTGCGTAGTTGTGGATATGAAAGTGACGAGAACAATAAGGTACGTTTATTTATCATAACTACTGGTTACATATATTACTTTTAAATCATACGTTATTTTAAACGTATGTACACTTTCTAGTTAGCTATCTTTTTTTCTGTTTCCATATGAAAGTGGGATCAAACAATTGATTATAGAAAGAGCAACGAGTATAAGTGTTATAATTGTATTTTGCTACTAAACGACCCAGCTATTCATATTGCTTAGTATTCTTATACAATGACACTGAACAAGACCCCAAAATCAAAACACGTTGAACAGGAATGAAATTGTATTCAAAATAATAATGGTATGTGAACAGCAATCACTGATTTGAATAACGTTCATATATTTATAGTATATACATAAGAAGCTTCTAGATTTTTCTCCAATAATATGCTCGGGCTGATCGGTTTAGAATTAGCCAATCAGCGCGCAGCAACACCATCATGCATAAAACATGCTTTAATCCAATCTATGTCCCGCTAACAATAAGCGACCCTATTCTAAAAAGTTGTTATATCTTGTGGCCGAGTGGAAGGCTTTATTAAAATTTTATAGTGCTACTTTTATTATCTAATGCTTCTTTAGCTTGGCCATCACCAGGTGGTAATCTGAAGTTATATAAGCTCTTCTCTCTGTTCTTCCACTGACCTTCTGCACCTTTTTGATACAAATGTGTTCTTCCTAGTCATTGTCTCCACCTAATGCGTTCATACCCGGTGTTGTCCATCCCGACCTTGGCGTTTAGGTCTCGTTAAGATAATTATATCCTTTCCTAAGCGTTTCTATAATATGGACTGTAGTCTCTTATTGTCTGTGCTACTATCATTAATGGGTGCGTAGCTTTGGTTGGCATTCATTGTCATCTTTTCCTTTGTTTTGAAGAATCACTTGATCATTCTAGAGTCATTAGATACCTATCCTATGAATGCTTTTCGTTTCTCTTTGAACAATCTCAGTCCAACTCCTTGTGTGTGTGATATTTACTTCTCCGTGACTAAAATATAATAATAATATTGTTTGGATTGTGTGCATTAAGTTTCACTTATTCCAAACAGATCCAAGTTGTATTTTCTCATTTTTGTGGCTATTTGGATGGCCCTCTCAGTCTCCCACATTGCCCAGACATTTTATGTATCTATGTTAATTGTTGCTCTGGTTGTCAGAAGAGGCATTAATCTCGTGGCTCCCAAAGAATCTCGGCTTTCACCATGAGACGTTATAAATTTCCTAAATAAATACTCTTTGATTCCCAAGGTATAGTTTAAATAGTTGAAATGATATTTTTAGTTAGCAGTTTTTCCTTTCCTTGAACTTGAAACTGGCAGTAACCCTAGAGGAGCTCCAAATGTAGTTACTGTAAGATTTAGCTTGATAAATTTCATTTTTCTGTGCTAATGTGATGTAGCAACTTGAATTGATGTTATATATATGTAACAGTCTTATTCACCTCAGTTGAACCAAGCTTAACGATTGAACTGATGTACATATGTCTCATGTTATACAATGTATATAATCAGATAGCGTATTTCATCATAGCATAACATACAGTGAATTTTTATTCAATTCTTTCTTCACCTATCGTAATCTAAATCATGGAAACAATCTCTGTGTAGTGATTAATAATGAAAACAATCATAATTTTTTGAAAATCAATATCAAACCATTATTGATCGATGTAATTTATTATGCAAATAAGGTAGTAAAATTTTTGGAAATGATCATTTTTATTAAGTTAATGTGAAATGATCATTGGAGTCTAATTCGTGTCAGGTGTAAAATAATTTTTTAAAAAAACTGGTCACATTTTATGAAAAATGTTTATAATAAACATTTAAACAAAATATTTATCAAATATAAAGCTACCCTCACTTTGAATTCCTCGCATCAATATAAACTCTTAATGTTGTGTATTCACTTACTTTTACTTGATTTTCTCCACATTGGAATGGTTTATTCTATCAGAATAATATTTTAAAAAAACTAATACTGGTTGATATGTAAACATGAGAATTGCTAGGGTTACTTGAAAGGGTATTATATATATATATATATATATATATATATATATATATATATAGCACATGACATTAGACAAAATATCACGTGTAATTAACCTCTTTTACTAGTTGCTCGTAGTCAATGTCCTTTTTTAATATTGAATACTATTAATTTCATGCTAAAAATATTACTGTGTATACAGTGTTGTTGACTCATTAACTTTTCGGTGAAAACTCAATCTTCTGTTGGATAACATTCAGTTGTGTTATTGTTTAAATGTCATTGTCTATTTAGTCATTCTAAGTATCTAATTACATCAAACTTTTTTCTCATCTTATTGATAGTAGTAGTTCCTCAGGAGAATATGCGACAGTGATCTTAGCAGTCTTATATACTTTGTTAGTGAGATCAAATAATTGTGACCAGTGGAGTTCAATAGTAGTGTCAGTCATAAGACAAATATTTTGATAATTTCTATGTATGCTAGTTGTATAGTATTGTGAATCTATTAAAGATAGATATATAAATTATTAGATTCAAACTCTTGTATTCTCATTCCGAGGTCTCAATATCGTGGCTTATATCCCTTGTAGAGTTGTGGAGTCCCTTATTAGTATGAAATAGCAGTGCGGTGATTTTTTATTTTTGATGATTGTCTAGCTAAAATACTGTGTTATAAATAACAAAAAAAAGAACTTTAATAAAAATAAATGTTCCTGGGGATTAAAGCGTTCTCCAAAAGTTCTTCAATTAAGATCATGTTGCTCAATGAACGCAACATCACCAAAAGCATTCGCCTACCTCAGATGTAAATCTTCTTCATCATTTTATAGACCACATAATGTAATGGTAGATTTTTTGTTTGAAACATATTTCCCCTATGTTTTTTAAAAATAAATTATGTCATTTCGATGTTTATCAATTCATTTGTCCCTACTATTTCACTCAAAACGTAATTTGTACCGGACTCTCAATATTTTCACACTTACCCAACTTAGTTGAAAAGTTGGGACTATGAAATGGCTATGATTAGAACAAAACTAAACTACTTGAAAGTATTCACATACTGAACTATACTCTTCGTAGCTATTCATGTGAATCTGTAATACTAAATACAACTTTTTCTGAGTAATCAGCTTTTACCGATTCTGCGCATGTCAGAGAGCTAATGATGGTAATTGATTACCATAATCTTACCTAAACATGAAGTAGTCCTAGTGTGGGTTCAAACCTGTCACCCATTGATCAAGAGTTGCTCTATACTTACACTTTAGGGTTTCGACATCCAATACATATGTAATAATACGTAAACGTACTTTCTATATTTACAATCACCTCAGAATCCATTATATAATGATCAGTACTCCTTTCAAATCAAATTCTAATACAATTGATTTGTCGATACATGAAAAAAGCATTTGTTAAACAAATCAAATGCTGTTGTATAACGTCATCCAGACTTCAGTAATCTGTTTATTCGGAGGATTGCATAATGTGGCATTATTAGTCAGTTTTTTGTAAACGAAGGTTGTGGAGTAAACTGAATTAATTAAGTCATGATCTCCCCCCTTATGTCGTTTATCTAAAAATCGAATTTGCGCAAATATGGAAAGTAGTTAAGGTTACTTGTCAATAGTGAAATAAATGACTTTAAATGTTATATGTAAAATTACATTTTCAAAATACATAGTTTCCTGATTTTTACCAGTCAATTCGTATATAGAGGAAGATTAGGAGCACATGAAGTAAAATGAATACATTTTATTGCTCATAATGTGTCTGTTGTTGTTCTTACTTTCGAAAAATGTCTGTCATCAAGGGAACAAATTGCATTGTATTTTAATCAGTTGCACTATTCATTTCATGAAAATTTTCTGGGGAGTGTTTAATTTCTACTTACCTCTTTCGTTATTTTCATTCCCCCCCACAGAATTCCACTACAAGCGAATTATAATCTATTTTTATTTTCAGTGTCTTACATGTTTTTCTCTCATTAACCCTTTCATTGGGCCAACTTGTTATTTATATTTTCCTTAAATTATCATTTTTGGTTAAGAATATTTGACTATATATCATCGACCAGGTTGTATCCAAACTAGATACTCAAAAATCATCTTTGACTGTGCTCCAAATTGTCATTCACACAATAACTATCACATTTTACACCCTAACAACAGGTTTAAACAATAGTTTAAAACACTTAAGTTTGATTCAAAAGTAATATTATCCTCATACATAGTTACTTTGCTACTCATACAGGTATGTATTTTAATACAAAAATCTATATCCTTATTTTTACATATTCCCTCCCTTTCTAACCAGGAACTTATTCCAATTATCAATCCAAATACCGTAGATATGCATTTTAACAATAAAAGTGATACATTAGATGTATCCTCGGTGACAAGTATTCAAACTGATTCATCATCTATCAGTAGACCAGATGATTCATTGGAGTCTACTAACCGACGAAGGCGTGATGCTTTCGGGAGATTTGATGCTATTACTACTACTACCACCACTACTATTACTACCACTGCTGCTAGTAGTAATCAAAGTTCAAATGATGAACACTATCCTAGAACTGCACGTTGTTTATCGTGTCGAGAATACGATAGTCAAACTAGTAATGGAGAGTTGTCTATTCATGATTCTGATTTGAATTACCTTAAAGAAGTACATCTTTGGTTAAAAAATCCTAATCGATCAGTTACTACTGGTGATCAATTTAATTCTCCAAATACAATATCGACAAAATCGTCAATAAGTTTATCGACTTTATCCGATAATATTCACACATCTTTTTCATCTATGTTATTATCAAATTCTCAGTCTACATCTAAATTACATATATCTGATGTAATGGATTCATCGTTGTTAACCAAGAACGATACTACTACTACTAATAATAATAATAACAATAATGATAATAATAATTCCAGTTGTTTAAAACAAACACTTCCAGCCAGTATTTATGATAATCGTCTGGACTTGTCTGCTGACTGCCAATCTGTTAGCGAACTATGCATAAGTGAGTGTATGTGTGTCTCATTACTCTACTTATTTATATTTCCATATGTATTCCTGTTATATGGTTACATTATATTCTAGCAAAATGTAATTAATTTGAACTGGTTAACGACTTTTCTAGAGGTCCTCATTCCTCTTATAAATCGTCCCGGTAAATCACCTTCGATATGATAATATAACTATTATATCAAATTGAATGATGCGTAACACTATAACTTCTAGTTTCATATTTTTCTCCGAACTTTGTCAGTATTAAAAGACATCATTTCGGCCATAATTGGAAAAAATTGCTTATTCATCAGTATAAATACAGTTCATGTGTACACTTTCTAATGCAAATGGAAAAACTGTTGAATCATTTTCACTGATTCACAAACTGTTCGAACTATCTAACTAAATAAGTAGAGATAGATGATGACTAGCAGTGGGATCCAGGACGCGCGTTTCCTCCTGTTTTGAACTCATCATTTGGATGGACCTGCAGTCCAGAGTTGATGTACATTCTGGGACTCGAACTCAGTACTTTGCGCTTCAGACGCCATCGCGTTATCCGCTTAGCTACTAAGTCCAGACAGCCAACAGTTAATGCAATATGATTCAGTTGTAATTCATTTTTGTGTTGGTTGCTTGAATCATACCGGAGAGAAGATTAACTCCGGGATGCAGGTACATCCAGCTGACGAGTCCAAAATAGGACGAAACGCGCGTCCCGGATTCCACTGCCAGCCACCATCCATCTACGCTTGTAATCCTTGTGACCTAAGGCGATATCAAGGCAATCCTCAAAGGATACACATATACCAGTAAGAGACTGATCAATTGGAAGATTCCAACCACCAATACAAGAATGAATTATCTAACTGAATTATCAGGACAAATAAATAGAGGGATATTCACCCCTATATGTTTTTAGTTAGTTGATGACAATCTATTAAAACTCGTCTGTGTAAGGTGTTTCCGAAATCTCAAAGTTAATCCACTCCCCTCTTGTGTAGAGTTTGAACTTACTGCATAACAATCAAAGAAGTTACGATTCGGAGTTACGCGATCCTTAATACTAGGTCAAAGCCTAGTAATGGCCGCATTACAGTTTGACTGATAGAATGCGATTAATACTGAGGAACAGATATGTTATAAACGATAGGATGCTTGTTATAATCCTAGGGTTTATTGTTATAACATTCCCTCCACTTTTTACACGTATGTGGGATGTTAATTTACCTTAGACGAATATCTACACTAGATTTCCCATTCAGTGTCTATTCTAAAGGACTTCAACACAACTCAGTTCAAGAACACTAGATTAGCCTGACTAGAACGTCAATATATTTCCACACAAAAATCCGACACAACCCAACCACAAGGAACAGTCAATACATAATAAGGATAAAGGAATATATAACACCTGTCACACTATCCACATGTCTGACTCAGCAAAACAACCAATTTGGTAAAGGACTAAAGTACTTATATAAAACTTGACATCTTCCTACCACTTTTTTGAGTATTTTGTGATAAAATGTAAAAATTTGGAGAGATTGGCTATTCATAGTCACTCTCATACTAAAAAATATGGTTAGTTCTGTGTAGTGTCACAATGTCGTAATGGTAGAGCATGAATAAAATCATCTACGTTTTCGGTCAGACGCGCAAATAATTGACTATCTGTAGTGTTATGACATCCATCAATAATAACTTACTCGAGATTTCTCTCTATATGTCATAAGCTTAGTATAGTCTTGTGTAAGAAGCAGTATCCGTTTGGTTTATTAATACTCAATAATTGGTAACCACAAGTAATATTTGGTGTTTCAATTAAATTTTATACTAAAAGATCTGACTTCTGGACCGGCTAGTGTCTCAAGAGAAAGATTCGAATTTCTGTGTTCATTGTTCAAGGTAGTCAGAATTAGAATTATTCGTCTTTATTGTCGTGCTATATTTAAATTATTACTTATATAAGTTGGTGTTCGATCAGTCGGTTGGACAACTGTGAAACAATATATTTTAACATATGGTAGTCGATTTACAACGTGATGACTCATTTTGAAACTGACGGTGCTCATAAGAAGTACAAAGCAACAAGTTGAATCCTAGTAATTTATTTTAACGTGTTTATTAAACAAAGATTCGTTTACCTAGCTTCAACGTACACTCTAAGTTTGAGGACTATCGATTCCATCCAGTTAATCAAATCGAGGTCGGTTGACCAGAATTCATACCTGTCTGTGACTTATTGATTTAAAGTTGAACACCTTAATTACTGAGGTAGTTTTTCTGACAGTAAAGGATAAACTGCTAATATAGTCATACCTGAGTAAATCTACCGTCATATAACACCCATTCAGTCTGTTTTTGCCGTCTTGTATTAATAAATGGAATGAATATCTTTAGATACATGACATCTAGTGATAATTAGTCGTCTTTATTAAGAAATATCTGTTGTTGTGATCATGTTAATCAGTTTTCTCCATTCAATTTGGCTACCACCTAGATACAACAAAAACCTTAACAGCTTCTGATGGGACTTCCATTTACAAAGATCTAATTCGGTCATCTGAGGAGTTTACTTCGTGTTCACCGCCGATTAACTTGAGTTCAATAAATAATTCAATGTATTCCTCGTCATCTACATCTAACGGAAGAGTTGTAGCCACAACATCAAGTTCCGACTTTCGTTTCGGTGCTGAGAAATGCTTGAAAACAATATCAGACTTTTGCCCCTTATTTCCAAAGCGTCATAGTTCCGGTTCTTCTCCAATTTCCACACCACCTTCTGAAGAAAGCAGTTCTGACTCCACTGCACTAAAAGCATCTTCACCGGAATATTGGACTCCAAAAGGTGCATCACGTTATGTTCGTGGAATGTACACACCATACCAATCTCACAGTCAAACATTTCGTCCTGTTGTTAATGATTCTCGAGAATCTCAAATAAAAAACACTTCCTCTTCAAATCGATCATCTCAAACATCTCATTCGATGGTTGTATCACAGTCCAGTAGTATATCAAAGCGCAAATCTTACAATCAGTTCACCTTGGAGGATTTCCCTTCATTGTCAACTTTACGTTCCATGGTCAATGCAGAATCATCAAATGTTTCAACTAAACATAATAAAACGAATAATCAAAAATTCAATTCTTTTAATAATATCAATCATAGTTGTAATAATAGTAACGACAATAATAATACATGTACTCGTCAATTGTCAATCACATGCGCTACTATTCCCGCGTCCTCGTGTGAATCATCTAATAGTGTACAAAATTCTCAATTGAATTTTGATAAACTTACAGGTTAGTTAAATATTATAAAAACAAAACAAACAAATAATAAATAGTACGTTTATTTATATAGATATAAGGCTATTTATAATTGATATTTGTTGATGTATTAAAAAACTGAAAAAGTATGTTCTTTACCTACTGGTTAGTTTATCCTGTTTTCCATTACTTTAAACATCTTAAAAGTATTTTCACAACACAAATTGAATATTTAATTTCATCAGTAATGTATTGTGTGAGTTTATATAGAGTCAGTATTAGCCCACACTTTTATGCATGAGATGCTATCTGATAATGCTATTTGTTTGCTCAAATCAAGGTAGTCAGTTAAAGTAGGACTTGAACCAGAGACGTATAATTGTTGATAAGGAGTTAAGAGCTCTCACCATTACCAAACCACTGCTCTCATTTTATTACACTTATATTTTTCTCAGTCGTTCTATCTCCATCCATATGTTGGGGACTCTAGATCTCCAGAAACCTCTTGGTGGTAAACGTCTTATTTTTGGAAATTTCAATTTCTTGTTTTCGCGCCGAAAGCGCCAATTTTTACCTTCAGATTATATTTCCCACTTGGAAGGACCCTAAATGTCATTGGTTCGTTGCCTCTTTTAATATTCTGTTTTGTAACGCTTCACAAGGACCTTTTTATACTATATATATACCCTTGAGTTGTGTGTTTGGTTCATTCGGGCTTCTGACTGCTTGTGGAATATACTTTTCCTTCAGCGGAATCTGCTTTTCTCCCTCTACTTAGTGCGGCTGGGGCTCATTGGAATAGTTTAGCTTGTCTTTTTGTTATTACAGATCTTCGTGCGTGATATCGTAATCTGTTCAAGCATAACACCCTGCTACTAACTTTGTCTCTGTTTAGATTAGTTTTGAATCCCTTATTAATATTATCTGTCGGCCTCATATTTACTATAAGTTGTCCTTTAGACATTTATAATATCTGAAAAATTGAATCATAGGTTCTTTTTTACGATTTGAGCATCATAATGCTGTCAATCTTTTAGTCATTCTCGTTTAGTTCTTGTCACAAGACACAAAGCATTACTCTATATATCCAGATAGATTGCAAGTTGAATAGTTTTTTAGCTGTCCTGTGTACACAAATAAGTTTTCGCTTTCCGATCACAATTTCATGTCTCCTTACTCTCTCAGTATACGCAAAATATAATCACTTTTCATCCATTGGCAGTTCATAACTTTATGAATTTGCATCGAATTTGATAACTTGATGAGAGAGAAAGTACTGGTCTACTTTTAGCCATTTCTCTCTTCACACTACTTCCTTTTGCAATGCTTCAATATGTTTATCGTTAAATAGCTAGACCATTCCAAGAATCGAAGACCTCGCGGTTAACTCACCAGTTTTGAACTACTAAATGTTAATATTTATCGAATGCAAAGAATTTCTAAGTCTCGTAAATAAACAGTAGTTTGTTTTGGAAATTATCTTGTATATGTAGGTGTCACAACCGTTGCTGCTACCTTGACATGGTGGTCGGGCTTGCCTATCGTGACCAAGCAATCGAGCTATGCTGGCTGGAACAATCGTTCCTCTAGGTCCTACCATGCCAGACAGGTCGGTTGAAGAGCGGTAAGACTAAAAGCAACAAACCCAAGGTCCGAGGGCGAAGGTGTACTGCCGACTGTATAGAGGTATGACGGCAGTAAGGTGTTTCCTTCAGACAATCAGCATAACAGCGATACTGCCTTCCCACAAGGAGGGGTGGGATTAGAAAACGTCCACCCTAAAAATGTACACCTCGCCTTATCCCACGGATATCCGTCCCCGGTTGTAAGGTCACCACCCTTGATACAATTTCCTTTTCAGGTACCTCTAGAAGAACCCTTCCACGATGTGGGCAACCGGGAAGTGATAACCGCCCTCATACCTCCAACAGCACTCAAGGTTACTGCATTCATAATCAATCTCCTTCAATTCCTATTATTACTCCTACATCGACTTTCAACTTTCAACTTCCTCCTCAAGTGTCACCATAGCCAACGATTCTAGTGCTCAGAACACTGTCCCAGGTCTATCGAAACATCGCTCCAAACTACCCATTGCAGCCTTTAACGTACGCACCCTATGTGAATTCTGCCAGCAGGCCTCCTTGGCTAAAACCCTAGAATCTCGTACCATTGATGTGTGCTGTGTCTCCGAAACACTCATAGAGGATCCTAGTGTGGTCATTCACTTGACCTCACCTCACCAAAACGGACAGCCAACAAGATACACCCTCCGTGTATCTGGAGACCCGATGGCTAGTTCTCGTGAACATAACACTTAGTACGAGAGTAAAACAAGCACTATTATAGTGTGTCCCCGTTAACAGTCGCCTAGGTGCTGTTCGACTAAATGGCTCCGTAAGAACTCGGTAGGATAGGGGCACACGTCTTTGCGCATTTGTTCGCGCCTCCCTGGACGCATAAAAACCATACTTAGAAAGCCCATTACAATTAAACTGAGTAACAAGAATGCCAAAAGAAAGTCCCAGGATTAACTGAGTTCACATTTAGGCAATTCTGAAAACGAGGCTGACCCAGCTGTTGTTTAGAAAGATATACAAAGTGCTGTGGAAACAGCGGCAACATCTATTAGTAATTTAAACCAAAGGGTTACAAAAAATCCATCAGATTTCTTCTAATTTCATTTCACTGATGGATTCGCGTAAACTCATCCGATCAAGCTCTGAACACGATAAAGAACGAAAGCAAATCAGATCTGGGTTAACCAAAAGTCTAAGGAATGAGCGTGTGCAGTGGTGGGCAACGAAAGCAAAAGAAATGGAAAAGGCTGTAGGCAACACCAGACAACTCTTCAGACTAATAAAAGAAACCGGAATTAATAAGTCAAATGTAAGTGAAACGATCTGGGAAAAAAGACGGAACCCTTATCTGCTCTCAGCCCAGACGTTTAGAACGATGAGCGGAACAGTTTAACTGACCTTAAGCTTTTCTACAGTTACCCACCAGTCTGAATGGAACATGAAGTAGGTCCCCCAACTCTAGTTGAAGTTCAAAAAGCTATAGCTAATCTAAAACGAGAAAGAGCAGCTGGTCCAGATGGATTGGCTCCAGAGGTCTTTAAATATGGTGGTCCAATTTAAGCGACTAGGTTGACTAATATTTTGGCTAAAATGTGGGAGTTGGACGTAATCCCATCTGACTGGTCACAATCTCTGATTGTCCCAATATATGAGAAGGGGCCAAAATCATCCTGTGATAACCATAGAGGGATTAGTCTGACTAACATAGCATCTAAAATACTAGCCTCAATAATTATCGGGCGCCTAACTAAAACTTGTGAACTGTAAACACGAGAAAATCAGGCTGACTTCAGACCTGATCGTGGCTTCATCGACCACATATACAATACTCGTCAGTCTTTAGAGCACAGACATGCTTATCGGCGTCCGACAATGATAGTTTTTCTTGACTTGAAAGCAGCATTTGACTCTGTAGACCGCAAGGCTCTGTGGCAGTGTCTGTCATTGAAAGGTGTACCTAAGAAGTACATAAACCTTGTGAAGGCTCTTTACTCGAACACTACCAGTCGAGTGAGAGCTTATGGCGAACTGACATCTGATTTTATAACCTCAAGTGCTGTCGGCAAGACTGTCCACTATCCCCATTTTTGTTTAACTTAATTATAGACTTACTGCTGGAAATAACACTCTCTTCGACTGAAATTTCAGGAATTGGTCTCCTACCAGGAGGTCCACTTATCGACTAAGAATACGCAGATGACATAGTCCTGTTTGGTGAAGACGCTGACAAAATACAGAGTCTTCTGTTAGCACTGAGTAACAATGCCAGGATGTTTGAGATGCGCTTCTTTCCTTTTAAATGTAGATTGTTACTCCAGGACTGGCCTGCATCAACACCTGAACTAAGGATAGGGAGTGAAGTAGTTGAACGCGTTGACAACTTCACTTATCTTGGAAGTCTGATCAGCCCTAATGGGTTGGTGTCTGACGAAATGTCAGCACGGATTCAAAAAGCTCGTTTGGTTTTTACCAACTTACGTCACCCACGGCGGATACGAGATATCCGTCTATCAATTAAGGGTCGAGTATACTGCGCAGCAGTTCGTTCTGTTCTACTTTACGGCTGTGAAACATGGCCATTAAGAGTAGAGGATACTCGTAGGTTACTAGTATTTGACCACAGATCTCTTAGAAATATTGTTCGCATCTGCTGCGATCACCGGGTAAGTAATAGTGAGGTTAGACGCATTCTATTAGGGAATGATGGTAAATCAGTTGATGAGGTCATGAATCTTCATCGACTGAGATGGTTGGGCCATGTGTTACGTATGCCTGAACACCAATTACCACGACGCGCAATGCTGACTAGTATAGGTGGTGGTTGGGAGGGGGTTAGGGGCGGCCAAACCAATACGTGGCATCAGTTCTTGCTATCACTTACTTCTAGTCTGAGCCATGTTGGTAGATGCAGACTACTTGGTTGGGGTCCGCGTGACTATCGTAACCAATGGTTGGAGACTGAGTGAGATGGTTCATAATCGATCACAATGGCGTAGGTGTATACACTCCTTATCTTCCCTTAAAGCTTGAGATTAAAATTATTTCATAACTTTTTTCCTTCCTATACTATATCCTTATATGCAACCTATAATTTATATACTACTACCACCACTAAATTAATTACTTGTATGAATCCGGTGTTGATCTTGTTGTGCTAACGAGGTATGGCTACTTGGACCGATGCATATATGTGCCTGGTCCTACGTTGTAGCTGATTGACTAATATATAGGTGTATTGAGTGAACTATAGACCGGTTTAGCATTTTATTTTATTAGTGTTATTTATGTTCTGAAAATCTTGCGGATAGTGATCTGTTTGAAGTCCTTTTTACCAATGACATTTTATGTAAATTTTCTGCTTTTTTTAAAATCGTTACATTTGGTTTATTTATGCCCTTCAGTTGTTTCTAACTACATGAAACATTGTGACAATGATAATACGGTTGTAAAACCAATCCCATGCAATTCAACTGTTAATAATCAATTGGAACCAACTTTTTTCTCTTCCAATTCATCAAATTTTCTTCCAATTATGATAACAAATTCAACTACTTGTTCACATATATCTGTGTTATCACGTGCTATCACTAGTACTACTACCACTACTATATCTGTCTGTACTACTTGTACTGATACTACTAACAGTAATAATTTTGCCATCTCACCACATTATTGGATGTTACCTGAAGGTCCTATACCAGTACTTCCTTCAGCATTATATTCACCATATCTACTACCTACATCTACAATTTTAGAAAATTTCCAGTCTATGCAAAGACTACCTATGCTATATCAGTGGACAGTCCAACCGGCGGACACATCTAATAATAGTATTAGTTGTATTAACAATGTATGTGCATCTTTTATACCATATTTATCGCCTTGTGTTGGTATTTTCACTACAAACTCTGTGAATAATAATAATAATAATAATAATAATAGTGATGATGGTACACAATGTGCCAAAATGAATATTCCGGATACTAATACAATTTATCATTCCTCTCAAGAATCTGATAACGACGAACACGATAAGGATGATGATCATAAACAAAGTGATATCGAGAAGAAAGAGAAGAAAATGAAAGGACTAGAAAGTCCATTACATTCTACCAGTATCACTGATGCCTTTATAAATATTAATAATAATAACAATGTTGAGGTAACTACGAACATCATTCCTCGTGAAACTACAAATTCTTCAATTTGTAATTCTCAGCTGGAACTACTTCAAAAAGACTTATTTCCACAATCATACATCCTATTGCCTTCATACCCTCCTACTCCCATCCCTGCTACTACCACTAACATTCTTCCATATTCAACTTCTAATATATATGTGAATACCTTAAATTCCTGCGGCATAGTGCAAAATTCACCAGTTTGCCAAGCAAGTACAACCATAACAACGACAATTTGTAATAATAATAGCGGTGGTGGTGGTATCGATTTGATTACTAATAGTAATAATTTGCCTACAAATCATCAACTGAATACAACTATGATGAAGCAACTGAATGACGAACGGAATTTACCAGATAATAAAAAGATAAATGTGTCAAACGATACCAATATCTGCCCAATATCACATGAAAAAACGTTTAATAGTATCAACGCCACAGGGAATAGTACAACCTCACCTTCCTTTGTTACTACTGATACTACCGTTTTAACAACGAATTTGAACATAAATCGTATCCATTCATCTAACCGGTCAGTTTTACTGTATACTTTTGTCAATTATTTACCTATACACGTTCAAAATTTATCTGTTATGCTTTTTATCTTCATAAGAATTTTGTTCTCAATAATTATTAATCTTATCTAACTGTTATAGTTTCAGTTAAAATATACGATGCTGTCGGTAGAGATCAAGTATATTGATATCAGGGCCTTCTCCAATTCGTTCGATAAGACCATAGGTGCCCTGGCGTTGTCTATTGAAAAAGGATGTCGCTGAGAAGTTTATTTACATCATAAAGACTCTACACAGACTCCCCAAACAAACGGAGGATGTATGATCACCCTTCTCTATCGTTCCAATTAATCAGTGGAGTAAAGCATGATTGTCATATTTCACATTTCCTCTTAAACGTTCCCTTCGATTACATTCTCGAAATAGCTGTGGTGGAATTAGATAATGAGAATGCAGAGTTTTTACCTGGAAAAAGACTTTTCGGTCTTGAGTATGTGAATGATTTTATATTACTTTGCGATGATACTCGAGCTATGCGAATCTCACTTAACTAGCTGGCAGTCAGTCACTTTAAGTGTAGTATGTACTTTGCAGCTTCCAAATGCAAGGTACTTCTACGATATTGGCAAGAGTTTTTTCTGCACTCGCTCTTAATGATGAGTGGTTAAAAGTAGTCAAAAACTTCGTGTGTCATGGTAGTTGCGTGAATATTGGTTGCACCATAACAGATGAGATCAATCTACATAAAGTGAGACCCAATGCTGGGCGGCTTATACCAATTTGGATTATCTTTGGAGTTATCCTGATGTTAGTCTAGGTGTGAAGGATAAGCAATACTAGTGTTCATTAACTGCTTTTTTTCAAGCTTTTGAAGCTCTTTTTTTTACCTATCTTTATTTTTAGCCTAATACCTCACCAATCATATGGCTCTAATCGTATTGATGTAATCAATACGGAAGAAACTCATAAAAATCCACCAGTAAATACTGCCGAGAATTGTGACTGTTCAGATTCTACCAACAGTAATAAATCTTATCCGTTATGGTCTGCTAGTGAGACTGTTTGTAATCCTACCTGGCTCTATCCTCGATTTCCTGCTCGACCTGATTCTTCAAATGGTCTAACCTCCAGTACTTCCGGTTCCCAGCGTACTTATCCTACTCGTGGTTACTCACCTATGAATTTCAATAATTCCGTTCTACCACGTGGCTATAATCAACCTCCAATTGCCAGTTCATTTTATTATACACAACACCCTGGTTTACCATTAGTTCCAAATTCTGTATCCAGTCATTCACAGTTTATTGGTTCAGTCCCTAATCCAAATGTGCACTTCCAACAACCACATCCCTTGTACGGTTTAGTTCCTAGTGTATCTTCAACTTCCGGGGCATCACTAAATGGATACCCAGGAATTCCTATTCTTTCAAACTCAATTAAACCCAACATTTCTTCTGTAGGTCAGTCATCAGTAGCGTCAGTTGATCCTATGCCAACAGCAGCCTTATTACAAAATGCTTTGATTCAAATACCAAACGTTCCTTTGCTACAGAACTTCGTGCTACATCCTCCTTTACATCCAACATATCCTCCTCCGATACCAAATTTACCAGCTAATTGTGCCCATAATCCTGCCATGACGATTTCTTCTTGGTCATCAATAAATGGACCTAGAATAGTCAGTTGTTACAATTGTGGTCAGCCAGGACATAAAGCTAACGTTTGTCCATCTAGATGGTCTAGTCAACAATTATCAGAAAGTAAGCAAAAATAACTCCTCCCTTAGTTGAATTGATAGAAATATCATTTCCTTTATGCACTCCTACCAAACTGATCCCGTGACTTTATTTTTATGTTGAAGAATTTTGATGTTTTTTTCAGAATGATTATTTTAATCTCATCTTGTGTATGCTTCATAGCGCTCTAGATGTTTCTTATCGACAAGAAACGTTATTATCTGTTAAGCATATCTCTTAATCGGATGTGGTAAGATGATCGTACAGTATAAACATATATAAATAATTGTCGGAAGCGGAAACCTATTATCTAAAAGCAGAGTATTTTAAACAACAATCCTCCATTCTTCCAAATGATATCTTACGCCGTGAACCACATTATTGATATTCATATTCGACACAACCTTAGTGGTTGTGACACTACTTTCAATCATTGATTCTCAGCTTCGATTCCTGTTCTATTGGCTTCGGCTTGGACAATCGAGTAGTATTATCAGGTATCCTTCATGCATAGAATACTTGTCGTATGATAAGTTTTCATTCGTTTTGTATGAATGTTAATTTTTAGTACATTTCCTAGTTGATTAGTTATTTATTGAATTTATTATTTTCTCACTTTATCGATTAGTCTATATTTGTGTGTACTAGACTACAGTCCATAATAAGTTTGTGCGTGTGTGAAAACATTCATCGAATTAGAAAATCGAGAGAAAGAGAGAGCGAGAAAAAAAAGAAGCGATACACTTAACGTATCTATCGATTTGACCTTCTCTCTAATTTTTATATCGGTGTTTACTATCAAAATAAATAAATCAGACAAATTTTTTATTTTGTTTTAAAAAAGTATCTGTTCATTAAGGTGATATATACAAACACCATGCTCTAAAGCCCAATTATTAAATCTATAATCCTTATAGTAGAAGTATGACTTGTCATAGTCTTGTATATACGAACCACATGGATATTTAGTTATGCTATTAATGTGAATATTTAACTTGTAAATCTTTTCATTCATCAATCTCTTGAGTTGAGTCTTTATTTTTAATATGATATCGTACTTTATACTCGAATTATATTCTGCTTTTGTTTAGTTTCAGTTTTTTGATTGTTAATATTATGATTCTAACTCTTTTTTATCGATGTGATGTTAATTTACCATCTCTTCAATGGTGTATAGAGTAGTACGGGGACATGTGGAAACGGACACATTTGTACCAGATACTAGTTCGTTTGCGTAAAGTAATAATGTATGGTGATATTTACATGTATAATAGAATTCTCCTAACTTACTCTTTCCTTTAAAACAGTTGTTTATAACTTCATTTGACTGTTATACATAGATTGTTGCAGGAATAAAAGAGGCTATCAATAACAGCGTTGTATTTTGTAGTTTAATTTTAAAATCCATTTTTTTTACTTAAACATAAATATTGGTACAAGGAAGCACCAGATATATATGCGCCATACAAATCTCATTCGATTTGCTTGAGGGCTGTGGTACTGCCCAGGTGCCCGAACTGAAGCAGGTGGTTTTCTTAGGGGGCCCACACCCGGAGCATTTGACCTAAAGATCTGATCCACAAGTCAGTGGAGCATCGTGAGGAGATGCAGTCCCATGGTAGTCGGTGATCAACGATTGATTCGTACGCCATTTGTTCCCTCAGGATATTGGAGCCCATGTGCACCATTGGTTTGGAATTAGGGTTTTCCAACTCCCCTAGTTGGACTCGCCTTGTCCACCAACCCGGTTAAAGCGCCGGACATTCGCTTTTCGTCCTCTCAATTTCGTAAGCAACACCCCCGCCACTGTGAGAAGACAGTGAGTAAAACTTCCCTGTCAGATGCTATAAACGCGTGGCCGTGTGAAAGCATTTGGAGATTGAGAGTGGACTTTTTCCCCACCCTCGGCCGTACCAGGGCATTCGGTAGTATTCAGAAATACTCTTTTTTAATCAATTCATGTGGTTATTGTACTTTCTCATATCAAATCATATCACTGATTTCTTTTTTTTCATTTCTCTTCCATGTCGGTGTGTTTAGGTGTTTTCTCGTTAAATTATGCTCCAAGAAAATAATATAAAATCGTGAAATAGTAGTAATTATGAATTAAAACAACTCTGGAGAATCACAATCACCGCCGCATAAACTATACTGCTGACTGTGGGATATAATTGCGTTCATTTTTCATTCGAGAAACCTTTCATTTATTTATTTATTATTATTTTTTCCATTTTACGACTATAGACATCGTCAATACTAATTAACTAATTGCATCAATGTCCATAATTCTGATTATTTCATTCTCTATGATTTTTTTCATAAACAAAAAAGGCAAAACAAACTCGCATAGTGAAAAAAAGATTCTAATTATCCTCTTACCGAGACATGGATACACAAACATTGCCTCAACTCATATTGTTCTTCTAATTCAATGTCCAAGTGAATGATAGAAAAAAAATTGTATTTTTTTTAAAAGAACCGGAAAATTTTTTTTACTATTGATTTTGACATGAGTTTGCAGATATGTGCCATCTTACAAACCTTGTATTTTAACTTAATGTATCTATGCATGTATGTGGTATGAGGTTGTGTATATCATACTTTTAAAGTAGTCAGTATACTGAATAAAACAATAAATCCAACATTTCTTCCTAGCATTGTTTTACATTTTATCCTGGATACTGAATTCCTTTTATTATAATATCTATCATATAGATTGTAGAAAATAACCCATTGCTTGATCCTAGACATATATATATATATATATATATATATATATATATATATATACAACACAATTGTTTGTTTTTTTATTAATCCCATTTACTTATTTGTATCCTAGCTTGTAAATATTTATACATTGTGTACATGTTATCCCCCCTGTTTAACTAAAAAAAACTACACTTTCTTTTGAATTAGTAGTATTTTGTTGACTGTTCCTTTTATTTTGTATTGTACACAAGTGATATACACATTTATATATACATATACACTAATTAGCTTCATTTTATTCAATACCTGAGAAAAAAAAGTTCTATATACAACTTAATTTAAAAATATTTATGATAAACATGATTTGATAATGATCTAACGAATCGGGTCTCTGAATGTTTTCCACATTATGAATCACGGATGATATAACAAATTATATTTACATATTCGGGATTGTGCTCCTGTTCTTTTTCTGTACTTTCTCTCTCTCTCACCCCTACTTAAGCCAGGGAAAAAAGATAAGTAAGCATGATTGTGTGTGTTTCATTCTATGTGAGACCCATAGTCATCCCTATTTTTCAATTTTTTTTTTATAGTCAATTATTATTAATACTCACTTAGCTTTGTGCCTACCTTACCTGTTTACCTAGATGTTTGTCTGTTTTGCGTCATCTTCCGCACACGACACCATATAACATCTTTTTTGGCTTAGATATATGCATTTTCTTACGTATACATATATGTCGTCTTCATTCTCATTATGCTATAACAGACAAGAAGGTAGACATAATATGTATTCTGCTTCTATTCAGGTGATAATAATAGTGGTAATTAATTGTTACTATCTTGAGATAAACACTTGTTACTGTTATTGCCACTTCATTGTCTTTCTCCATATGTGGTGTCTTTATACTTGTGTGAATAAATCTTTACCCATTAAACCCGTACAATTTGTTTCTAATTATGTATGTTTGATGCCTGTGGAAAAGATAAACAAATAGACAAAAATGTCCACTTTGCTTTCTACCCCTTATTCTCTATTTCAATAGCCAGTTATAATAATTTATGTATGTATTTGCATATATATATATATTTTTATTCTCGATTGTCTCTCTTTTGATTGTATTTGTAGGTAGTACAGTTTTTATTTTTTAAAAATTGTTAATAAATTATATAAAAGAAATAAATAGAAATCTCAATATTATATTTTGTTTAGTTTTTTCTTGCTGAAAGTATGCATGAGTCTATGATGTAAATTATTATGTCCTCGAAAATGTATTAGTTTAAATTTACATCGTTCTGTTACTACTGCAGTACTAATAATATCTTATTCAATAATGAGAGTACATTTGATTACTTTGCAAATGTAAAACTTTTTATCGGCTTTATAAGTAAGCAAATAATATATGGTGTACGGTGGCGCAATTCTGTGGATGGGTTAAAGTTACACATTAACACCGTTGGATGCTGGCTCAGTGATCTAGAAGTTAAACGTCCACATGTGTGACCGGAGGTCCTGGGTTCGAATCTCACGAATGGAATCATGGATGCGCACTACTGAGAAGTTCCATGCTAGGACGAGACGACCATCCAGATTTTCACTGGTGGTCTAGCTTCGATTGACTCATGAATTCAGCTAGTAAATTAATATACACTTGTCATAAAAATGTGCTGATAAAGTTCCATATTTTCATTCATCTGGATTTATATCACAAGTGATCCGGAGAACAGTGTTTATTGAGTTGAAAACCTCATTGAACTCAATCTTCAAATCTTTAATTGTATAATTAACAGAAAATAGGGATAAAGCATTTTACTGTTTGAATTTTTGTTATTTTCTAATTAATCTTAACTCATTATAAAACGGAACAAATTTATAAATGACGCTTTTAAACAAAAATCACCTATTCGATAGCTAACTTTAATATGAATATTCGAAGTCCTAACAAGTACGGGCGGGGTTCACTTATGTGATAAGTTCAACATATTTAACTTGTGTTTTATTTGGCTGTCGCAAGATATCAAGTTTTAGATTATTATTCCGGGGATCAAACAATCCATGCTCATCCTTAACTTTAATTCATTTCAGAAATATTCTTTCCCTATGGACTGATTATCATCAGTAGGTTCACACTACAAACTATCAGGTCAGAAGGATAACCTTTAATTACTTATCTCTTGTTAAAAACAAACTATGTTGCCTCAGTTTAACCGTACAATCATTCATAAATGAATCCAGGGTTCATGACCCGAGTTAAAATATACATAGAGTCCTATCGATCATATAATTTATTTTCTGGTTTTATACATGTATTTTCAGCTGATGAGCAGGGATTAGTGGTAACAAAGTGTCATACTAATCACATTGAACAAACCACTCGTCTGCATATACACTTGAAATGTAAAGTATAAATAATCTTATGATTTAAGCGAAATCCTCTTAATCTTATCATTCACACAATATGCTTTGTTTGTAATTGTGTGATACTTAACAATTCAATCTATCTAGAAAGTGTACAATATTCCCTTTGTCAATTGAATCATTCGGAAAATATACAAACATCTTGATAAAAATTATACATTTCTCCTCTGTAAGTTTCTATTCATTACATTTTTCCTTAAAGGTAAACAAAAACAATTATTCTTATGCGTTCTAGTACATAAACAACATAATACTGTAGATTCTTTTAGATAAAGGGATCATGTGTATAGAAAGTATTTAACTAACAACTGACTTATGATATTTACCATATATTCATATTTATGATCTCTGGATCCAATAATTATAATGGTGTCTGTGACAGTGAATTAACTATCAATGTTTAAATGAGGTTGGTTTGTGAAGTTTAGATTCATTAAAAAGTTTTTATTATGTCAGTTGAAAAACAAGGATCACTTCTGTTCCTAATTCGTTTGAAACTGCTAAGAGTGTTTACACACCACCTCACTAGAGAGATTAATTATATGTTTCACAGTGATAGTATTGATTTTAGACCACTAGGTCAAAATCCTATCATTCAAATTTTTAAATTCATTTGATATATTCGACGTCAACTACGGGCATCATGAGGTTGTCGCTGACTGATGTCGAACGCCTTAGTTTTCATTAGTCTGTTTGATTAAACCTGTAAATAACTAACAAATGTTGTACTAACAGAATTAGAATCATTTTATTTACATTGAAGCATTTAGACAAATCAACTGAGTGTATACCTTATAGAACCTCCTTTTTTTATGTACAGAATACAACCTTAATGAATCATACTTGACAGAAAAAAAAAACTGTCTGTTTAAATTAATACCCTTTGATTTTCGATATACTATGTTCGACAATAGAAGTTTATTGAGGTAAAGAGTAGTAATAATGTATTCAAATTAAATAAAACTATTCTACATAAATTGAGTTGCCTTCAGATTAATATATTACGCCCATAAATATTAAGTAAAGACATTTATTTGTTATATATGTAATGTTTAACAAGTTACTATATGCATGTTTGACATAAAACTAAGTTTAATCAAATAAACCACCTGGACGTGTATTGAAAATAAGTATTTAACAGTCTACTGTTGACATTCAACGGTTGAAAAGCTTGGTCAACAATAGCTCTACTCTAAATAAAATAAATTGTTAACAACTATGTTTAAATGTTTCCGTTATTTTGATTTCGTCTCCCTTTTTCTAAGTTTTAAATGTTGCTCTAGAACAAGATTTTGTCAACTTCAAGGTTGG